CGGTGTCCTGTGTCCTCGAACGTTAACAAAGTGTTGTTAAAAGAAGAGGTGATACAACAGAATAGTAGACATGACCCTGTACCAGCTTTTTGGAAATCTGTCTCTGACAATAAATGGACATTTTTAAAGAATTTTTAACATTTTATAGCAATTTTCATTATTATTTGTACTTAGTGTTCCAGCTCTTATTGATTGTGTTTGTCCTTTTAACCTCTGTTAAGTATGTCAGTCAGCACCGTAGCACTGATGTTGATTTTCCTCATATGTTTTTGCTGAATTTACATTTTTGATTTTACTCATGAAGAAAAAATGCTTATGAAATACATTCAGCAAATAAGTACAAAAGAATAATCCACACACAGATTCCATAACAGAGCAATGGCACAGTGTAATATTTATTATATTTCTAGCTATGTTTTTGTCTGATTCTTAATGATCACAAACACACAATCAGCCCTTTAATGATCCAAAAATATCATACAGCTGCATCAATCTGACCCAGCCGATGGTGTTTTCAATGAGAGCAACAGACATTATGTTTCTCTGCTGAGCATCCCTCTACAGTTTAAGAATCATTTTTTATCAATACACCACAAGAACACAGATTTACTTCCAGATAAAACTCATTGAAACATGATACAGAAATATTTGGACGTTTTTAGGATGGGCAGGCTGCAGTGTTGATGCTCACATGAGGTGTGGCCTGTTTCTTCTTAGAGCTGCAGCACAAAATGTGTGTGTGTGGGTGTATGCATGCAGAAGAGAGGGTGTGTGTGCATTAGAGAAGCCTGCACAGTTTCCACTAACAGCAGACTCTCCCTCCCTCCCTCTCTTTCTCTCTCTCTCTCTATGTTTTAACTTCCTGCAGTGAGGAGGACTTTGGTCAAATTGATGTATGTCTCCTCCTCCTCCTCCTCCTCTTGGATCTCTCCTCTTTTTTTTTTTCTCCCGCAGCATTATGGGTGGTTATAAAATATTAATATGAGAGTGCATTTAGCAGAGAGCAGCTCGTTCGGGTATTCTCTGGTGACTCCACATTCAGGTCACAGGGGAGCGTCTGCCTGTTTCTCTGCTGCCTGATTTACTCTAAATGCAACATTAAAGACGTTCCGTTCTGCTCAGCTCCTGCAGGCTGCACACATCAGCCTGTCATCCCTCTCTCTCTTATATATATCTCTGTCTATTTTATGTATATGTATATTTATATAGGTAGATAAAGTGCGTGCACAAAATGAGAATCAGGACCTGTGTTTTCAGGTTTTTTTTTGTTCCGTCCATGCAGCTGCTCAGACCTCTGCAAAGTTGCTCCTGAAACACTGATTGTTGTAGACAGGGTGTCATCTCTCGTTAAAACATGAGACAGGCAGCATCATCCTCAGAGACAAACACACAAACATGCACACACACGCACATGATCCTGAAGCAAACAGGATACCACAAATAGAACAAAAGCAAGCACACATTCATCTTAAAAAAAACACAGAGCCCGGTCCGTTTGTGATCCTCGTGTGCAACATTTTCTCCTGCAAACATTACTATCACAATATTGATGACAAAATGGGAGTGACTGTGAGACTGAGCAGCTTCTTTAATCTTCCCTCTGGACGCTGCAGAGTGCCTCCAGGCTACGTGCTTCTCCTGGTTATCTTTTTTTTTTAATACTGAAGGAGACACGAAGAAAGAGGTTTAGATTTATGTCGCTCTGCCTGCACTCACAGGGGGGATGATATTTTAGGCTGGCTGTTTTTGGCTCCTGCACAAACTCTATTATATGTAAACTTGATGTTTTTTTCTTTATTCCTGAGTTGTTGTTGAACACAGAAACACAAAGACCAATAAAATCAGCTTAAAACAGCTGTTAGAGGAGATCAAACAACAACTGGACTTTAACCCAGGAGGTTTCCTGTCCTGTGCGAAACAGAAAAATCGATGGTGAGTCATGTTTCAACCCACAGCTTGATGCTTCCTCTTTTTTAGTGTTTGAAGAAAACCAACTCTCCATAATAACAGCATTTAAAACATGAAGAAATGCATCCTGAGAGGGTGATGATGACTTTATCACTGTTTGGCTTTATCTCTCAGGAAAGCAACAATTATCTGCTGCTGGATCAAGAAGAAACCTGTGAATGAAGTGAAGGACTCATCATTTACCTTCAAGTTTGCACACATTGTCCAGATGTCAGGGAGAACAACTCTTTACCAAAAGTCGGCAAAGCCCTTCTTTTAACGCTCTCAGTTTGGTTACACCTGTTTTGTTTTGTTCGGTTCAAAGGCATATTCATAACAAAATCATTCATCATTTAAAGTACACACTTTATATTTGCTGCTCACTGAGGTAGACGCTAAATATGCATGAACACTGTAGTGTTTCATGTGACAGACTGATTGCACATCATCGCCGCCTACTGGCCTGGCATATTTATGTGATGATTCAACTGTATCATCTTTGTCGTGGAGACAGAGAAATATTCAAAAACTCCTCTCGTATGAACTGGTGTCTTTTCAAACATGAGAAAAATAACCTCTGACCCACCAATTGACCAGACTTTTTTTTTTTTTTGTTTGTTTGTTTTTTCCCAAATGACTCCAGTACATATTCACCAATCTGCAATTATGCTGTGCTCATCTGAAACTCGCATAGTGCAGTTTTAACCTGCATTTCTGTACTCAGAAATAAACTTGGTTCACAGATTAGGGATTTTGAAAGTCATTTTCAGTCCATGCCAGGATTTCCACCACAGAGTCATGTCTGCTTTTTATGGAGTGCTTCCTGTGGCCTGAATTAAAGAATGATTGAATTACGGCCATCCAGGTTTTAGGCATCACAGCTTTTGAACAGAGATTTGTCCAGATTTGTCTCTCTGTCCAGAGTCTTTCAATGATATTGTGTCCTTTATTCAACAAAACCTGTAAACTCTATAATTTTATGCATTATGTGTATATATATATACAGTATATATATATTATGTGTGTGTCTATATATATATATATATATATATATATATATATATATATATATATATATATATATATATATATATATGTGTGTGTATATGTATGTACACATATATACACATATATATGTATATATGTATATATGTATATGTACATTTACATATATGTATATATACTGTATATATAAACATATATACATATATATGTGTGTATATATATATATATATATGTGTGTGTGTATATATATATATGTGTGTGTGTATATATATATATATATATATGGAAAAAGACGAAGGCATGAGGTCCCACTCGGCAATAGACGGCTATTAGAGGTCTAGATTTTTTTAGACCTAATTTCAACCGTCTAGATTCTGTATATTTTTAGACGGAATCTAGACGTTGCACTTTAACCCATTATTCAATAACTTATTATTTTTAAAAGAGTAACAGTGAGTTACATAACTAATCTCCAAGGACTTAACCAAAGTAATTATGATAGCCGTTGAGCAATATACAGTGTAGTATAGATATAGCCCAGATTTAGACTTGGTCTAAGCTTGGTCTAAATTTAGATGTCTAAAAAAACTTTCATTTTTAGACCTGTGGTAGCCTGATTTTTGACCAGTCGTCTAGGCTACATTTAGACGTCTATTAGACCTCTTTTAGACCAAAAAATGCTCAGTGGGGTATAACTATTTCAGAAGAGGGATGGTTGAATGTCTGAAAACACAACAAGCTAAAACACCTTGCTGTGCTTGAAAAGAACAATATAATGAGCTATATAGTTAAAAGTGAATTTTCATCACAGCCATGCTTAGCAAAATATGGTGCAATACATGTAGACTGTACACTTGCATTTAGGCTCTGGAGTAGAAATGAGCGGTTTCTGAGGTTTTTCGGTAGTTTCAAAGATGATACTGCTTTAAAAGTCCTGTTGGAGGCCTCCAAAAAGACTGCAACAAGAAAATGGTTCAAAGTTGAACCATCAACACAAACCTAAAGGCTGAAAATTGTGACTGACAGACAGAAACATGCAGCAGCTAACCCACAGGATAAGATGTAAAGCAGAAAAATTCCTGTGAAATGGAGGAAACGGATAACGTTTACAACAAGGGGAGACAATGGACCAGTCAATTTATCATAGGAGCTGACCTTGTTTGTGAAAGAGCAACCCACACCTTTTGTGTATTTTTTTCTTTTATGTATGGATGCTTTTTTCACAAAAAGAAAGCATAAAAAAAGGAGTTTTTTTATCTTATAAATAACTGTGTACATGTTGGCATAATTCGCATGAGGCTGAACTCTTCCTCTGCACAATATGAGTCCCAGCAGTCTAAGCACCTGACACGCTAATCTTTCATTACACTCCACTCTCTGCATGCAGAGCGAAGACGATGAAAAAGGATTTGTGAAGTGATATTTCATCTGTATTCCTGCTCTGCCTCCCTGCAGAAATCTACAGTAACACATGTGATGTGGATAATTGCTGTTATTAGTCTGACGCATGCTGAAAAGAAGCTGCTGGTGTCTCTCTGAGCCACAAAGAGCAGAGTGACATATGGAGAAAACGCAGGATCATATGTGATTTAGTGTCGAGTAGAGGTGGGTTTGCGTGTGTGTGTGTGTGTGTGTGTGTGTGTGTGTGTGTGTGTGTGTGTGTGTGTGTCGCACAGGAGCTATTTTAAACAGCAGACAGCAGCGGGCTGAGAGCTGCTGCTCCTCTTCAGGTGCTCAATAATTAACTGCTCAGAGTGCCGCGGTGTGCTGGAGGAAGTCAGGCAGAAGTGTGTGTGTGTTCATGTGTACGTGTGTGTCTGTGTGTTTGTGTGTCAGTGAGGTAGGCAGTAATATTGAATCATTGAATACACCCCTCTTGTTGTACGTCTTACTTGTTGCGACATCTTAAATTAGTCCCTTGTGTTTCTTTACATCCTCTCTCTGATGAAGGTGGGGCATTCACACACACACAGACACACACACACACCTGTACACAGCCTCCATGACATGCACCATGCAGGTCTTGGATGCTGATTAGTGTTGCCGACATGCAGGAAGTCCCTGAGCTCATGAGGATGGGGGATGAGCAGATCCTGGTAGCTCTGTGTGTCAGCATTAAAGTTTCAGGCGGCGGGGGCTGGGCGTACACGGCAGCTGATGCTGAGCTGGAGAGCAGCCATGGGCAACAGCATGTCCGACATCAACCCGCCGGTCTCCAGGTGCTGCAGTGCCACAAACAAGTGTTGGATTAGACCCACAGGGACCTGAAGCTACATACGCTAACATCACCCTGATGCTGTTAAAAAGGCTGTAGTACACCGCGACTCTGCGCCTGGGACTGCTCGAAGCAGGCTTCAGCAGAGACACACATTCATGCATACAGCTCCTACTGCTGCTGCTGCAATTTCTGACAGTTATCAAGCTCCATCAGGGGTGCATTTTCACAGATTTCTGTCTTTTAAGTATTGCAAAGAAATAACTGAAAAGCAGGGAGTAAAGGCCCTAAAAACACAGAAATGATGAGCAGAATAAGAGGCAGCACTCCGCAGGCTGCTGAACAGACTGTCAGACGAGTTCAAAACACATCAGACTGAAACATGTGAGGCCACAGAGCTGTGTCTGTAAATGGATAACACACTGAGACCAAAAAGAGCATAATTTAGATTATTAAACATTTCTGTCTGCATGCCTCACTTTCACTTGTGCTAAAAAGCAGCTCATCTCTCCTCACTTTATTTGACCAGTAAAAAAAAGACCAAAACAGCTCAGAAAAGTGACAAATAAGTTGTTTCAAAATAGATTTATCAATGGCTAAAAGAATCTGAAGATAACTCTGTGTCAAAGATAAAAACACTGACCTTGAGTAGCACTGTTGCAATATTCCGCTATTGACAATTACTGTCTTTTGAGACAGATGAAATATTAACATTTTGCTGAAACTACACATATGGTTATAGTTCATTGTAGGAGGTGGTTGTGGTTCTGGTTGCAATCCAAAAACAACATGCATCTCTTCGAGGTGCTAAGACTTTAGACATTTGGACACCACTAAATACAATACTATACAAAACTGTTGATTCATGTTGTTTACTCCAGATTGTTACCCTACCATCTGAATGTCTCAGCTGAAATCCAGACTCATCAGACCAGGCAACGTTTTTCCATCTTCTTTTGCCCAATTTTGGTGAGTCAGTGGGATTTGTTGCCTTCATTTCCTGTTCTTAGCTGACAGGAGTGGCACCCGGTGTAGTCCTTTGCTGTTGTAGCCCATCTGCTTCAACGTTTGACGTGTTCTACATTCAGAGATGATATTCTGCATACCTTGGTTGTTATTTGACTTACTGTTGCCTTTCTATCATCTCGAACCAGTCTGCCCATTCTCCTCTGACCTCTAACATCAACAAGGCATTTTCGTTCACACAACAGCTGGATATTTTGTCTTTTTCTGACTCTAGAGATGGTTATGTGTGAAAATCCTGAAAATAAGGCAGAAGAACTACCACGTCTGCAGGGTAAAATGATTAATTTGGTGATTATTGCTTCAAGGAAATGATGAAGAAATGATCATAAATGTTCTTCCTTGAGCTGCGTCCCCCCCACAGCAGTCCGTAGTAGACTGGCTTGAGGTCTCGCTACAAACAAGTGGCTGCTGGAAGAGAGTAGGTGAGTTGTGTTTAGTCTCTATGATAAAGAAATTAGGCAAAGCTAAAAAGATGTTTGGTGGCTAGTACTGTGGCTGGGACCCTATATGTACTGTTGATGAAGTTAGGTGCTGTTCTGAGCATTATTTGTGGCTATAGATTGGCGTTTTGGTTGAGGTTCGTTTATGGCTCCTCAGACTGCTGTGTTGCTATTGTGCGGTCATTACTAAAGTTGGTATAACTAGAGAAGCAAGCGGTCGGCAACATTCATCTCTTTAGGGGGTGTCTAACTCAGTGTTACGGTGTGTTTGACCCTAACTTAATTTCATCCCAGAATATCACTTTGAATCCCCTCCCATTAAAATACTCAGTTTTAAGTTCAGCTAGTCATTTTCACCACTTTCACCACTATGTGACCGGCTGATTAGCTATTTGTGTCAACAAGCCATTGGACAGATGTACCTAATGAAGTGGCCGATGAGTGTATGTAAAGCAAGTTAGCCAAAAATTGAAGTATAAATGGGATGCCTTTTCTAAAACAAACAAACAGAAATAGTATGAATGCAGCTGAGACATCTTCATTAAAACAAGATTTGGTGTGAAAAGACTAATTTCCTTAAATTAGTCTTGAAAAGGCAGGGTTGTCTTTTAATCAGGACATTACAGCACCAAACAAATATTTACTTTTATTGGCTGATGCTCATTTTGATTTGACTTGAATATTACATTACTTATTCTTCTTCCTTTCTGAACATAATTTCTATAAGTTACAGAGAGGATTTTTTTGCTTTTAAGTAAAGGTTTTATGTGTCTTTTGTTGTTTTCTGTAATATCCTGGTGAAATGAGTTCATGCTGAAAGATGAGTGGCTTAAACCTCCATTAGCCTACTTTCAGTTCCCTGTGACTGGCTAGATCCTGCACACATACACAGGCACACACACACACACACATGAAGAGATGGACACACAAACACAGGAGCACCCTCATATCAGTCTGTACATTAAAAGAAGAAATGATATCTCTTCATTAAAGAATCATCTTTGTGAATGGACAATCCCGGGCTTTTTTCACCGTGTCCTCCTGACCATCACACACTGCTGCGATGAAAGAGGAAAAAATGAAACATCCAAATTGCTACTTCAATCTCCAAGAGTTCTGAAGTGCTGTTTTCATCCCATTCTGACCAAAATAAATGTGTATTTTTATTATAGCGTGTGTCGGGAGGTTGCTAATGGGTTTGGAATAAAAGACAACATTCTGATTCAGCCGAGAGCTGGTGGCACAGAGACCCTTTTTACTTCAGCTCATTTTAGAGCCAGGGCGCCGCTGCTCCCCTATCATTGGTCTATCAAGTCAAAGATGACGACCCACTCACTGTTAATGCTTGTCTGCAGTTAGAAGTGATCCCCATGAACCAAATCAAAGCCTGGCTTCCTGTTGAATAGATGCAGCGTGTTGCTTTGCTGCCCCTGGTCAGAGTTCAGAGAAACACGTCCGTGTGAAAGGCGGAGGGCGGCCAGCCAAGGCTGCCGTCTCCTCCAGATCAGACTTCACTGTTACTAAGGGCAGCTTATTCACAAGCTGCAACAAGTCAGAGCTGCCGAACAAAGCTGAGAGACAAGATGGGCTACTGTTAGCTGGAACACATTCTGATCCAGAACTGCTAAGCATGTCCTCAAGGTTCATTGTAGACATGAAATAAATAGAAACTATTTTTGGCATACTTGTAGATAACTTTTTGATTAAGCTTTAAGTTGTGATAAACTTTTAAGGAATCCACTAGTTTTAGCTGCAAAACGTCTATTAATATATAAGCCAAAGGAGTTCAAGTCCAGTCAAGGTCTACACCAGTCTAGGCCTACAGCAGTGTCGGTGTTACACCCCACCCGGAGGCAGTCCTACAAGGGCTAACAGCTAATCTCACATTGACCCATTTAAAAAGTAAAAGGAAACACCTTAAAACTTTATCACAGGATTTATTATAACCAGAGACAAAGAACTAAATAATTCACCAAGATCAACTACAGAATCAGACAACTAAGATCCAAAACCCACAAATGAGCAGCAGCAGGGCAGCACTTCCCCACCAAAAGCCTTTCTGCAGGCAGCTCCTGGGTTTTAACCTCTCAGTGCCAGGTGAAGCTGATTGCTAATCATTCACAGTTCGTTTACATGAAACTCGAGATTATTGCCTTACTCTGATTAAGACTGGACATCTGAAGTGTATTTAAAGACCTTAGTCTGACTATAATCGGAGTTTGAGAACTCCAGTTGGAGTCGGAGAACTCTGATTAAGACACCCAGAAAATGCGGTTGGAATTCGATCTTCTCCAGTGTGATTGGACAACGCTCCTGTAACCCTGGAACAAAAACACCAGAGAAGTGGAGTACCGTGCACTTCATCTGCAGAAAAAGTAGTCTGTACATCATGTATGACAAAAACAACGCTGTACGATGCTCCATCTTCTTGCTCAAAAATGCCCAGCAGCAGTTGTAGCCACTTCTGACCGGCTGTTGTTGTTGGGTCAACCAGAAACCTTGCGCTTAAAGAGCCATATCGCCCCCTAGTTATGGGGAAGAGGACACGTTCATGTCAATCATTTGATTTTCTCAACTGCACGTATACGCGAAAAAAAAAATATATATGAGCTTAGTCCGATGAAGCTGTGCATGTAAACACACTGACTGACTTCACCTGAGCAGAGCTGGGGAAGAAGGCATTAAGGCATAAAGCAGTCCAAGCTTGGACTCCAAGCCAAAGGTTAGGTCCAAGCTAGGTTTCCAAGTCTAAACCTACAGAGGTCTAGGCCTGTAAACGATCTAGGCCCATTGCAGTCTAGGCCTTTGGCAGTCTAAATCTTTGAGAAGCAAGAAGTTCTCTAGACCCACAGCAGAAACATTTAGAGGTCCAAACTCAAACCAGTCTAGGCATGTAGCAGTCTAGACTTTACACAGTCTAGGCCTATAGCAATCTAGACCTAAATTTAGGTCTATTGTAGAATAGGCCTGTAGCAGTCTGTGCCCACAGCAATCTAAGCTCTTAAGAGAGAGTTTGTGTTAGGAGGAGGTGTTAATTCCTCTATAACACTTTATAGAATAGTTATCTATTGTGTTTTTTTGGCACAATTTCTGCAAGAGTTTTTTTTTACTAACTTTGATGTGCAAAAAGAAAACATCCTTGTCATGTACGGAATGGGTACCAGGTGCGATCCAGGAGTCATGTGATGATTTGTGTGTAAAAAATAAGACGCTTGACCAATTTAAGTTTTGGTCCACAGTTCATTATCATCTTAGTTATGGTGATCTCTGATTGGCTGAATCTTTTCATGATGTTTTCATCCTCGTAGGAAAGTGTGGAAAAGGATGTAACATCCCCTGTCCACACCCCAGACATGGTTGAATTTGGTTGTTGGTGCTGCTCGTACTTCAATACTTCAAGTTCCCCCAATAAACAACTTCTTTTAGTCTGAGTTTCTTTTATAGTGTCTTTAAAAGAAATTACAAAGAAAGACAAGAAGCAACTTATTCACAAATCTTTCTCCCTTTCATTGATGTCACTTACTTCTCAAACCCACAGTATTCAATATCACCAAGAGTTCAATACTAATCA